CCAGCTGGTGGTTCTCCAGCTGCACTGGAGCCATGGCGGCGCAGGTCCGGGCCTGGCGCAACCGCACAGGATGCGGCGCTCGAGCCTCCCGGGCGCTCGGTCACCGCGCCGTAGCGGGCGCGGGCAGAGTAGCCACCGCCTACCGCCGGGCCGCCTCTGAGCAGGAAGCCGTGCGCCGACCGCGAAAGCCCGCCCCCATGTAGCGACAAGCCCGCCGGCCCCAGGGACGGGAGCGAGGGGCGGGGGGAGGCAGGGAGGGCGGGGAAGCGGGGCGGCCGCCGCAGAGGAGAAGCTGCCCCTCCGCGACTGCTCAGAAGGCGCTTCGCCAAGCAGCCGCAACGTCCATGTTGACGGCCGAAACCGGAAGTCGCTAGCAGAACGGAAGGGGAACCTGCAGGGGGCCTTCCGACAGAACCCGTGTTTATTCTCCCCGCTGTCTCGCGCGGCGGCGCTTGGGGGCGCGTGGGAGTGGGGCGGAGCCGGCGCGCCCGGGAAAGCGGAAAAGAGGTCGCGCGCCGCCGGAAGCAGGAGTGAGGGTGGAGCCAAATCGTCACCGCAAACGTCAGCAAGATCTCCTCCCCTCCCCTCGCCGCTCTCCCTCCCTCCCTTCACCCGTTGGCGTTTTAAAGACAACAGTTTGCACTGAGAAATGGATCATCGCTCCCTAAGTGGAGCACGAGCACTGACGTGGGAAACCTTCTCTAGATGTGCGTGAGTTCTGATTCTGGAATCGCGAAGAAAATTGTAGCGGCAGCGCGCTTGCGATTTCTCAGGCCCTTGCTCCTCCCACTGACGTCCACGCACGGCGTCTTACGTGGGGAAAAGATCGTTTCCGCTTCCCCCCCCCAAACTGTGGGAAAAGGTGCGAGAAAACATGATTGGGAGTAGGGACGGGGCCGCCAGCAGAATAATTTAACTTTAATAGAGGTGGGCATATGCTGCGGTCGTTACGAACCCCAGATCCCGTCAGTCCAACACAAAAACGGTACTTAAATCCTCCGCTGCTGGCTCAGTTTTTGTCCCTACTCTTGCAGTAGCCGCCCTATTTTCAAGGTCTTTCAGTTCATCTGTATATACCGCCACTTCCCTTCCCCGAAATCCACGTTTAATTTTTTTGTGCCTGCTTTAAAACGGTGATTTGCAACCTTTGCTGCACTTTGGAAACACATAGGGGACTAAAAATACTTAGGCCTAGGGGTTCCACCCCCTTAGATTGAAATGTAATTGGTCTGGCGTGAGGTGTGAGCTTCAGAATTTTTTTAAGTTTCCTAGGCGATTATAATGTGCAACTAACGTAGACATTCACTGTTAAAAGCATCAATCGCTGCGACCCTTTTCAAACATCTTTTTCAGCTTCATCTCTCTAACCCTTAGGTGTAAGAGATGGTCGTGCTGTTCCCTCACACTGTCATACACTTGTGTCATTCTTTGTCATTCTTGAAAGCCATTCACCTGCTTCTGAAGCTGTAAACTCACATGTTCCCTCCCTTTGTAGTCCTAAAGCACATTTGCAAGAATATTATGATGATACTTATAAAAATGCATTAGGATTATTTATACTGCCTACAGGTGCAGTTGCTGGAAGGTAGAGACTATCATTCACTCCTATACAAGCTACCTCAGGGAACAAACCAATTTTTAAATGCTATTTTAAAAATTGATAAATAATTGTATATATTTATGGGACACAATGTGATGTTTTGATACAGGTATACATTGTGGAATGAGCAAATAAGGCTAACTCATATCCATCAGCTAACAGTCTTATAACTTATTTATGGTAAAAACATTTAAAATCCATTCTTAGCAATTTTGAAGTGTACAATACATTATTAACTATAGTAACACGTTGCTCTGCAGTAGATCACCAGAACTTATTCCTCCTAACTAAAACTTTATACCCTTTGACCAAGTTTTCCCCTTTCTCCACACACAGCCACCCTTTGCTCCCACCCCCACAGCTCTGGTAGCCACCATTCTACTCTCTACTTCTATGAGTTCAACCTTTTTAGGTTCCACATATATGTGAGATCAGGTGGTATTTGTCTTTCTGTGCATGGCTTATTTCACTTAGCATAATGCCCTCTAGATTCATTCAGGTTGTTGTAAATGACAGAATCATGTTCTTTTAAAGGTTGAATAGTACTTCGTTGTGTATATGTACCACATTTTTAACCAATTTATCTGTTGATGGGCACTTAAGTTGGTTCCATATCTTGGCTATTGTGAATAATGTTGCAATGAACATGGGAGTGCAGACATCTTTTCAACATACAGTACTAATTTCACTTCCTTTGGATATATGGATATATACCCAGAAGTGAGATTGCTGGATCATGTGGTAGTTGTACTTTTAGTTGTTTTTTTTGTTGTTGTTTTTTTGGGCTTTTTCTTTGAGTTGGAGTCTCACTCTGTCACCCAGACCAGAGTGCAGCGGCACGCTCCCAGCCACCACAGCCTCGACCTGCTGGGCTCCGGCAATCCTTTCGCCCAGCCTTCCAAGTAGCTGGAACTACAGGCGCGCCCTACCACGAGGATGATTCTTAAGGTCTTTTCTAGCACTGAGGTTCTGATTCTGTGTGATGTTGATAGGACTTTAATTCTGCCTTATTACAAATATGAAACACAGTTATACACCAGGCCTTTTCGTATCCATTCTATTTGATGGTATGGTTCTACCTAGAGAGACTACAACCAACTTGAAAGTAAAAGAAAAAAACGAACAGGTTGGGGGTTGTTTTTAGAAAAGAGAAAATTTCACCGTTAACTGTACCCCACAATTTTAAAATAAAAATTACGTTTAATATTTTAAAAAAGAAGAGAAAATTTCCCCCACATCAATCAGGTTAGAGTTTACTGAAATTTCTGTGAGTTTGAATAGATATCTTTAAAAATGGAAAAAGCCGGGCTCGGTGGCTCAGCCTGTAATCCCGCGCCTTTGGGAGGCTGAGGTGAGTGGATTGCCTGAGCTCGCGGGTTCGAGACCCACCTGGGCAGCGAGACCTCATCTCTATAATGAATCAAAAAATCAGCCGGGTGTGGTAGCGCATGCCTGTAATTCTGGCTACTCGGAAGGCTGAGGCGGAAGGATCGCCGGAGCCCAGCAGGTCGAGGCTGCGGTGGCCGGGAGTGGCCACTGCACTTCAGTCTGGGCAACAGAGTGAGACTCCAACTCAAAAAAAAAATAAAATAAAAATGGAAAAGTACTAGTTATTGAAAAGACTGTTCTCAAGAAAAATAGGGTGAAAATACAGCAATAAGACTTGAGACTGGCTGTGATTGAATTATTGGAGATTAGGAAGATAAGGTAAATGAAAGCTCCTGAGTGGGGTGATATCCCACCTCCCAACCAGGTAATACAGACACTTGGCAAACAGTAGAAAAAATGAATGGGAGAGGAGAGAAAATGTCAGCATGTTTGACTGAGTTACTAAAGGAGTGACCTACATTTAAACCACCTTTAGAAATAGTTTATAAGTTATCAATTTAAAGCTTCTAGTACAATATTTGACACTATAGTATCGGTACACACTTCTTTCATTCACATTTTTTCACTTGTTCCTCTATTTGGTGATCACCTGATTCTATCACATCTCAGATAGTTTCAGGACAAACAGCATGATATTTTTCTCAGCTCTTACATCAATCTAAATGCTTTAGATCTAAATGCTTTAGATCTTTAAGTCAATTCGATTTTTAACAAAAGAAATAAATTGATTGCAACAAGAGAGAAAAAAGGGCATTTCCTTTAAAGCCTTTTTGATGGAAAAATGAAATTGTTTTTCATTTGTTTGCACTTAATATACAACTACCCCTCTAATTCAAAAAGGTGGAAAAGGAATCGAAAAGTCATTGTTTCTTTCTTTTTATAAGATATTTCAAGTCAGGCTCGGTAGCTCAGTCTGTAATCCCACGCTTGGGAGGCTGAGGTGAGTGGATTGCTTGAGCCTGCGGGTTCAAGACCCGCCTGGGCAACTTGGCAAGACCTCATCTCTACAATAAATCAAAAAAAATTAGCCGGGCGTGGTAGCACACGCCTGTAGTTCCAGCTACTTGGAAGGCGAAGGCAAAAGGATCGCCGGAGCCCAGCAAGTTGAGGCTGCGGTGGCCGGGAGCAGCCACTGCACTCCAGTCTGGGTGACAGAGTGAGACTCCAACTCAAAAAAAAAAAAAAAATGTTTCAAACAGTTCTTCCAAAATGAAGAGCAAACGCAGTAACTGTGTTCATTCAACAGATGCTACATTCACGGTGAAGTTGAGGGGAGGAATTCATAATACCATGGGCATGGTCTGAGCAACCTAGAAAAATGAGAGCGCTACTGGCTTTGCATTTGGAATAAAACCCAGACTTCTTACTGTGGCCTCTAAAGCCATTAGCAGAGTAGCCCTTGCGTGCTTCTGTATCCACCCCTATCTCCTGCCACTTTTTCCCTTGCTACACCCTCACCTCAATGGATATAGTGCATGCCATTCCCTCTTGTTGCAGATATGTTGTAGATAATTGAAATACTTGTTTCCTGGCTCTTCACATGGCTGACTTCTCCTCCCTAAGTATCAGCTTAAATGGAAAAATCCTCAGTGAGGCCTTCGTGACTATATTGTGTTAGGCATATACAAGAAAATTCATTGCAGCACTGTTTGTAAAAGCAAAAACATATGAACAATCTTAACTGTCTCTCAGTACAAGAATGGAGAAGTAAATTAGAACTACATGTACCAACATGGATCCATCTCAAAAACAATACTGAATGAAAAAAGCAGTCTTTTTGTTACTGCTTCTGTCCATTTTTAAAGCACACACAATAATACTCTGTAATCTAATCTATTGTAGTAAAAGTAAAAAATGTAAATAAGAATGAGATACACTACCTTCAGGATAATAGTTACTTCTAGGGAAGGGTAAGAGAGGAGAGGATGATTTATTGGTTAATAGCTATTAGTTATATCTAATGGAATTCGTGAAGAAAAACTTGAAGGAAATGTGACTATTGTTTATCTGTTAAATCTGGAGATAGAGATAGGATTGTTAATATATTCTGTACTTTTCAATACTTTTGAAATATTTCATAATTTTTAAACATTTCAATTAAAATGTTTCTGTTAGTAGTAAACTTTACACTAGCTGCTATAACATACTCCAAAATCTTGGTTACTTATCACAGTAAGAATTTATTTCTCATGCTCACAAAATTCAATAAAAATGTACATCTGGGCTCCTTCCATCTTAGGAAACCATCATTCTGTGAGGCTTTATTTTTGTTAATGTCCACCCACATTCCATTAGCCAGAATTAGTCATGCAGTTCATTTTTTAAAGCAAGGGAGCTGGGAAATACAGTCTTCCTGTGTGTGGCTAGGAAGAAAATTAGATGGTTTGATGAACAAATAACACTGTTTTTACCACAGTATTAAAGTAGTTTTCTCTTTTTTTTCCCCCTTAGAGCACACCCTCTGAAATCAGAGGTTTCCTAAGATGGAAGGAGCCCAGATGTACATTTTTATTGAATTTTGTGAGCATGAGAAATAAACTCCTACTGTGATAAGTCACCAAGATTTTGGAGTTTGTTATGGCAGCTAGTGTAAATTTTACTAACAGGAACATTTTAATTGAAATGTTTAAAAATTATGAAATATTTCAAAAATACTG